CGAAGCATATATCTCCTATTTGCATCCGTCACCCTTGCATTTTGCCCTTATGCGATACCCCTCATTTTAACAAGACGATAAGTGAAATGGTGTGTTATAGCAAATTTACTAAGGGCTTCTCGGAAGTCATCTAGAGATTCAAATTGTTGGCCTATACCTGTAAGTGCATCGTCCCATGAACTAAGCAACCTTGGTGCATTGTTTTATTTGGAACTAGATACCAAAACATTAGAGGATTGGGGGGGTCTGACCTCTTCGATTGCCCTAGGGTTACGTGAAGTACTTTCAACCCTTTGTTCACTCCCATCAAATACATAAACTAAGAGATTATTCTCGCCTTTATGTGCATTCAACATCCTCTCGATATCATCGTCAATGAATAAATTCACAATAAATCTTTTATTTTTCAAGACAAAATACCTCAATTATATCAGGTGTATGTCTAGCGAGAAACACTCAGCTACGTATTTTCGCAGGTCATCTAACCTAGTTCTACTTTCAATCATAAATGTACATGCATCACTACCAATATAGTCCAAAGTCCCATCGATATTTGATTAGAGTCCTCCACCACAAATACAATAAATCAATCTTCTATCACTCATTTTCTTTTCTTCTGCACAAGATTTGTAATAATTTACACCCCACAAATAAACAAACCCAACGATTATCTGAATACAACACTAATGACTTTGTGGATATAAACACATACTTTCAATCAGTGGCTATTTTAGAGCAAACTCGATCATATTTATTCCCAAGGCCAAAGGCTTTACCCCTTTGAGAATCCAATGCTCTTCTATTTTACAATTCAGTAAAAATAAAAAAACAAGAAAATAAATAATAGGGAAACCATAAAAATTAAGAGAAGTTGTATACAAAATGAAAACTAATGACCCATAAACTAGATTCGCAATTTGAGTTTAATCAAAACTCTTGAGGTCACTATGCCAAATCAAATACAATAGCTCGAAACAATTTGATCGAAGTTTACATGTAACTCAAAAACAATTTGAGGATGAGTAGCTCAAAATCTCAATTATGTGTTGGTTGAATTCATACATGTTTTGAAAATTTACAAGTGACTGCTCAAAACAAAAAAGAAGATAGAATTCTCCTTCAATGATGCACTCAATGGTCACTGAGCATGAAGAAGATTACAAAAGGATCTAGGTCAGTATGTGTGTAAAATTGTTGATACATGTCGAAAATAGGTCATGGCTTCCAAGTTGGCTCTACTCCCATGTTTCATGACACAATAAGGTAGTTACTCTCCTTTCCCAAATAGCGCAAATGGCATCTCAATTCCTTGATAGCAGCATGCTAATACATGCTTTTATGAAGAATATTACTAATGATAGTTAGATACCCTAAATTTCCATAAATCCACAGAACTAGTTTCAATTTTATCCCAATTTCATGAAGTCTAATTTCACAACACTCATCTTGAGATAACAACAATTTTTGCATTGTTTTATTTAAAAAAAGGAAAAAGAAAAACAACAAGACCCGCATTTGATAACATCATTGACATCAACAACAATTCATCATCATCATCATTGTTCGAGCCTTATTCCAATTATCTAGAATGGGCTTAATCAACGAAAACAACAACTGAACACACAAAATTCCCACAAATTCACTAAGTTAACATCAACTCTCTGTTAGTTAGCTCAATATATTGAAAACACAAATCAAATACAATTTAGGGGGGGTCCTTAGTTTTCATTTTGTATATGCCAAATCAAATACAACAGATTCATTGTCAATGCCAAATCAAGTAACTCAATGCCAAATCAAATACAACAGATTGTCAATGCCAACAAATTTCAAACAATTTTATTAAAAAAATTACCTTATATGGGGCTGATTTGGGGTAAAGTAAAAATCGAAGTAGTGCTATCAGGTTTGGGTTGGGACACAGATTTTGAGAGCCCAATGGTATCATTCGTTGAGAGACGGAGAGAGCTCGGGCCTTAACTTGGGCGTTCCTTCGTAGAGAGAGAGGGAGAAAGCTTCAACCCACGAGAGAGAGCGTGAGAGGAGGGGGCTTGGGCAAGGGAGAGAGAGTGTGAGATGAGGGGGCTTGGGCCAGGGAGAGAGAGCGTGAGAGGTGGGGGCTTTGGCCGGGGAGAGAGAGCGTGAGAGGAGGGGGCTCAGGCTACAGAGAGAAAGTGAGAGATGGAGTGGATCTCGGGCCATGAGGGAGAAAAAGTGGGAAGAAAAGCCTTGCTGAGCTCGGGCCGTGAGGGTGCGAGAGAAGCTTCTGTTAAAAAAAATTATTGGGTAACTTTACGGGGTAAGAAGGAAGGAAAAGGGGAAATACCAAAAAAGTCTTTTTGTCCCTTTCTTACTTTTTTTTGCGTTGAGGGGGTTTTTGCGGGGATAGTTTGTTGAGGGGAAAAATATGAGAGAGAAAAGTCAGCAGGGGGTAAATTGAGTGAATAGTATATTATGGGGGGTTATTAATAATTTTCCCAAAATACTTCTACACCTAATTACATAAGGGAATTTTTTCATGTGAAAATATTTTTACAAAAGTATTTTCACACGTACCCAACATATTAAAAAATGAGTTTCTGATATCTCTCTTTGATAGCTCTCTTTCAGACTCCAAACTCATTGTTCCTGATCTAGGACATGTTTATTTAGCACAAATGAATTTTCTAAAAGAGTTCCTTCCCCTTGGTTGCCACTTTCTCATATTTATTTTGTGGGCATTTGGGTATTTGAACACCATTTGGGAAAGCATTTTTCCGGCCTTTAACCAATTTCATGAGAAACTGCCAATCCATCTATTCAGGTGGTGAGAGCGAGTCTTTTGGTAGGCTCATGTGAAAGCTTAAAGTTTCGAAAAGCGCTTTCACTTAATAAATGTACCTTTAATCATCAAGTTCTCTCCTGTCTTGATCTCACTATCACTGTTTCTCTCTCAAAAATCTAACTATGCCATTTTCTTTTGGATGCAGCACCAGGTACGATTCCTTGATTTTGCGTAGGGCAGGGCAAACCCCAATAGGATCGAAGTTGATGTGGATCGAACTTTACATCGCGCCATTTCTTACTAGGCTTTTGTCAAATACGAATATTTTCATAAATATTCTATACAAAACTCCTCATGGATTCTGATTACAATATGTGATTCTCATTGGCATTAACATGATCTAAAATTAATCATGAAAAGAAAAATATTTTTCTATTAAGATAATACTTTATTACTAAAATAAAAGTTTAATTTTTTTTACAAAGAATAATTTTTGTTTCATGTTTTCTGTTTTCCTTTTTAGTTTGTATCGACCAATACATATTGATCAAATGGAGGGCCTATCCACTATGATCCTTATTAGAGTTCTAAAACAGTAATAGATATGATTTAGCTCATTTAAAATGTAACTTATTATTATTCAAATGAAAATAATAGTATAATTTCCTAGGTTTTTAGTCATTGAAGATCCTTCAGACATCATCTAACTTATATAGTTCATTGCATTTATAAATAGAATCTAATAACATGCGCAGCATGTGCCCCCGCTAGTAATATATAAAAACTAAGGAGTTTTTGTAATAATAACATTTATGAGGGGATATACCGAATTAATTCTCAAAAAAATCTTATAAAATTATTGGGAAGTTTAGAAGCTTTTTGAGGGGTCTATTACATTAATGCAAAAAGCCAGAACAAGCCAGTGTTCCAGCTGATGCGGCAGCAAAGCTTGCATCTACCTGTACTGCTTAGCCAAGGATGGGTTGGCGCCCCTCCGCTAGCTATAATACAAAGCCTTGGTAGAGGACATGTGGGCCATAATCAAGCGCGTGTTGGATCCTAGCTGGACCTAGACCCAACCCAGACCTTCTTGGGTACAAGCTTAAGGCCTAGATAAAAAATATGTATTTTATTATAAATATTCTATACTTAATAATATGGGTGCAGTTGGCATGGCATTCGTACCTTAAGGTGCACCTTCAAATTTTATCATGGTATATAATTTTGATGTAAAATGTTCTTAAGATTATCTCAAAATCTATTTTTATATTTAATTATAAAATTTTAAATTTTAAAAATAGTTAAAATCAAGTAGATCTATAAACATATGAAAATCTTGAAAATAGACAGTGTAGAGAATATGTTGTTAAATGAACTATTTTTTTTTATTTTTCATGTTCATACATCTCGATGTCGAGATGATAAATCAAAGGGTTTTTCAACATTAAAACTACATTTTCCAATGGATTTTTGAGGTGCATCTGGAGTTCTACGTTATAAGGTTGCATCCTTATATAAAATTTTTCCTATATATATTGCATATACACAAATACATATTATAATAATTATCAGGTCAGATTAGGTTGGGTCAACCTCGACTGAAATTGACCTAACAAGGTCCACGATAAGACAAACTCAGACCCAATGCAAGTCGGGTCCACTCATTCATAACCTGACACAACACACCGGATTCAATATTTGGGTCTAGATCTAGACACACTAGTTTCAATATAGAGATCCAAATCCCGACCCGTATCAGGTCGACCCGTCCAAATTGCCACCCCTATTGCTGCAACCCCCCCCCCCCCTAAATATGTATTAGAGATGTGACACGTTCGCTGCAGACCTCCTAGCTCTCGGAAAGACCTTAAATGAAGCAGAAGCAGTTGAACACGGGCATGGTCTTTTTCAGCTATGTTTCTCCATGCTTGGATTTCATTTCAATCTTTGCGTTTTCACTCTTTATTTTCATTTTTTAAAAGCTCATAAAAAATCCTACCCAGAAAATCTACAACAAAAGCTTTTACGTAATTTTTGCGCGGCATATCTTCCCCACAAACACGTAGCAAAGTCCATAACTCAATAGATGCTCAACTCTGGTGTGACATATATTGTGGAGGTAAGTTACGAAAACGCCATTAACATAATCGGAAAGGGCTGGTACATTTCTGTTTATAAAGGCATTTGACTAAGAAAAAGAAAAAAAAAATGGAAGTTGTAAAAAGTCAGAAAAATGGAAAAACAGAGAAAAGTAACAGATGTTATTACGGAAACGATGGCCATAATTTGTTCTATGAATTGTTCTTATACCCGTCATTTCTGTCATAATGGCCCTCTGTCTATTCTGTTATAATGGGCGTTGGGCCAAGCTGCTGTGGCCTATACCATTCCTTGTTAAATAGTTTTGCAGCAAATTACATTTGCGGGAAAGCTTTCAAACTACTTGTAAACATGAACACAAACTGCAAAAGTAAAGCATACACTGCCATGCATCAATTGCTGAATAACACTACTTCATGGAAAGTTTACATCCTAAAGACACCATACTTGGTGTCAGCCGGGATGGGTATCGCAGAAGCAGCAAGACAAAGGCCCAAAACCTTTCTACTGTCTGCAGGATCAAGGATGCCATCATCCCATAGCCTCGCTGTTGAATAATATGGATTCCCTTCACGTTCATATGCTTCCACAACAGCATTCTTAAATCTCTCCTCCTCTTCTACACTCCACTGCAACAACACAATTACATCACACCACTATTATAAAAACAAAGGGCAAAATAGATGGAAGGTAGAAGAGAAGAGGGAAAACGACCTAAATCTTCTAAATAATTGAAAGAAAAGCTCAACATCCATGGATGACCAAAAATACCCTCCCATGTCAAGGGGAAAGACACATATAGCCTCATTCATTATTGATACTTAGACAATTACTTATCAAGAAAATGAATCAAATTTCACCAAATATTGTACTATAACTTCTTGATGTTCTATGTAATTTATATTTTACAAAATCTTGAATCTATCATCATATAAGGCTTAAACCAATGGTGGTAGAGCTCTTGGCTTTAAAAGAGGTCATAACTCCCAACTCCTGTTTGGAGTTGGGACACTTTTTGCCTCAATAAATTTGGACATCCCATATCTGCACTACCTTTTATTTTTTGGAATCTTTTGACTGTAGTATTGTATCAACTATTACGTATGGTAAAGAAATGTACAAGAGGTTGGGCATCCAGCAAGCTGGGTGCTCTCAGAAAAAACCCTAAAGGGATCCAGAAAATGCTATACAACCAGAAATAAAAGGAAAACTCGATACAAAAAGGGGGGACTAAGTGCTAAAAAAGGTGCCAGAGATCCCGAGTGTTGTCCTACTGCATTGGCCTCTCGCCATGTATGTGTCCTTAAGACACGCATAACCCTGCAAATATGAAAAATCTCATAAAAAATGTGATAAGAGTCTCCAAGGGCAAGGTGAGGACCCGGAGGCCAAGCAATGAGGCTTTTGGAATCTCCTTCCACGACTACTTCTAGGCTCCAATTTCGATTGAATTTCCTAAGGCCTTCAAGAAGAGCCACTGCTTCTGTGATGGTAGAGTCGGTGTGGCGAATGCATCGAGAGAAGGAGAAAACGGTTCAGCCGTCCTTGTCTCTGAAAATGTCCCTAATACCAGAAGGGCTCGTGTTGCGAAGGGAGAAACTGTCGAAGACGGGCAGGTGGTCTCCAAAGGGAGGCGCGAGGATTCTGGGGGGGGCTCAGGTTCAGCAGCACCAGCCAATCTTGGTGAAAATCAGTCTAGGAGAAATGCTTGAAGACTTTGTGATGTTTACCCCAAAAGGTGACCTAGGGCCTATTTTTCAAGGCTTGGACGGTAGCCTTCTCCCCTCGGAAAGTCCTACTCTCTCCATCCAAATTACCCATAACATGGCAGCCACGGAGGCCCACCAGAGAGGGGTGCCCGGCTTAGACCACAAAGGGAAGAAAAAAGCACAAAAGAGGTGTGGGACAGATCTCGGAGTCTCCCACGACCATTGAAAAGTTGGAGGTCTCCCTAGAGTAATCTGGCTAGGTCACAGTGGATGAAGAGGTCTGGATGGTTTCTTCATCCGCTAGGCACATGACAAATCGGTTTGGTATCTGCATTCCCCTTCTTTGGATCTGGCCAATGGTCAACTCTTGGAGATGCAATCCAATTGAAGACTTGGATTTTGGGGGAAATGAAGGAGAGTCAGGTTCTAACAGCAAGGGATGGGGGTGTAGAATGAGGAAGTGATTTTGCTGTAGAATGAGGCTACTGAGAAAACATCTGAGGGAGCCGGAGACGAAATAATCTTATCAGCACTATGGGGTGGGAGGAAAACATAATGGAGAAGGCATGACATGGCCAAGAATTCATGGACCACGTGGTCTGCTAAGGGCCTTCTGAAATTGGGGTTCCAAACTCTATCCAATCCTAAGGGGTCAAAGTGGTCAGCTACAGTCGATTGGCTATCACAAGCAAGGAGAACAAGTTTGGCGATCTCTCCATCAATGGAGAATAGCCTATCCAGAGATTGGGCCAAAAGATGACTCTGGTACCTTCCTGAGGCCGAAAACGGATATTGTTTTTTAAGAGCTTAAGGGTATGGAGGAGGGATCTCCAGATTCCAGAGGATTTGGAGTTGACGCTGCAGCTAGGGAGCTAGGCCAAGGCTCCACAACGATACTCATGTCGGAGGACTTCTTGCTAGAGATGGTTTTCTTGTGTGGCAAAGCACCACCACCACTTGCCCAAAATAGCTAAGTTGTTGGATTTAAGACTACGGATGCCCACCCCACTATGAGCCTTTGGCAAGCAAACTTTAGCCCATGAAATGAGGCGGTACTTCCTTAGCCCCTCCCCTGACGAAGGAAGTTCTTCATGAGTTGTTCCCAAGCCATGATTGAAGTCGACATATGAAAGACGTACATCTAGAAAATAGGGATGTGGAGAGGGTCAAGGTAAATCTCCCCTATGAGCAGGGGAACCTGCCCTTCCAATTGGCGAGTTTGCAATCGAACTTATCAACGATATTGCTCCATTGCCGTAGCTTGGTCTTCCCAATACATTAAGGCAAACCCAAGTAAATGGAAGTCACGTCATCCACCGTGCAACCCCAATGGTCCGCCAGGCATTGGGTCTCATTGGCCTGGATAGCCATGCCAATCATTTTGTATTTGGCCATGTTTACCCTAAAACTAGTGGCCATCTCGAAGCATTTGAGGAAAAGGACGGAATCGACCTATTGAGTGGAGGCGTTGTAAAAATAAGGGTGTTGTCAACGAATTGAAGATGGGAAATCTCCGGCCCTTGATTTCCTATAAAGAAGCTTGAGGAGGTTGTTACGGTATATCCCAGCGATTGATCGGCTAAAATTTTAGCAACAATAGCAAACAGGAAAGGCGAGAGAGGGCTTCTATGTCTAACACCTCTAGAGGTAGGGAAGATGCCTTTGGGGGATCCGTTAATAATGACTGAGAAGAAAGGAATGGATATGCATCCAAGATCCAACCCCTCCATCTTTGTCCAAACCTCATTCTCCTGAGAGTGTCATCTAGGATGACCCAGTCAGATGGTCGTCGGCCTTCTCTCAATCCAATTTGATGTCGAGACCTGGAATGTTGGAGAGGTATCTAGAGTGGATGCACTCATGTGCAACAAGAGCATCATCAAGGATTTGACGTTCCTTGAGTAAAGCCCCCTGAATAGGAAAGATGACCCAGCTGAGGACCTCCTTGAGCCTAGAAGCTAGGACCTTTGAGAAAATTTTGTATGAGCTATTTAATTAGATTGATGGGCCTGAAGTCATTAAGCTCTTTCGCCCCTTTGACCTTGGGTATTAAGGCGATGAAGGTTGCGTTCATGGCCTTATGAATACTGCATTTGACATGGAATTCATCCAAGAAAGCAAGCAGAAAGGGTCGAAGAGAGTCCAAAAGTGTTTGAAAATGACCACTATGTAGCTGTCTAGGCTGGAGGCTCGGTCCTGACCAAGGTCTCTTCTTTGGAAAACAGGTGCTCAAGCCATGTAGCTTTTTCCGGGGGAACTGAATGGAAGGACAGCACTACCATCCTTGGCCTTGGGCCGGTGGGGCCAGTAAAGAGATAAAAAAGGAGTTGATTATTGCCTTTTCCACCTAGGGAGGGGGGGGGCCAAATGGATTTCATCAAATTTGATGTGGGAGATGGAGTTTTTGCACCTTCTGCAGTTGGCAATCTCATGGAGAAAAGCAATATTGATGTCACCATATTTAAGTCATTTGACCCTCGATCTCAGAGACCAGAATATCTCTTCTTTGCGAGTGGATGCATTATGTGCATTAAGAGCACAGTCAAGGATCTGACGGTTCTTGATGAAAGCCCCCTGAGACAGAGACGTGACCCAACCGAGGAACTCCTTGAGAAGCTCGGCCCTTTGAGATAATTTTGTAGGAGCTATTAATTAGACTGATGGACCTAAAATCTTTAAGCTCTTTGGCCTCTTCAACCTTGGGCATCAAGGTGATGAAGGTAGCGTTCATGGCCTTATGAATAATACCTTTCGCGTAGAATTCATTGAAGAAGGCAAGCAGATCGGGACGAAAACAGTCCCAACAGTGTTCGAAAATGGCCACTGGTTAGCTGTCGGGTCTGAAGGCTACGTCCTGACTGAGGTCGTTTGACTGCCCTAAGGATCTCTTCTTCGGAAAACATGCGCTCAAGCTAGGCAGCTTTCTCTGGGGGGAATTGAACGGAAGGACAGCTTTGCTACCCTAGGCCTTGGGTCAGAGGGGCCAGTAAAGAGTTGAAAAAGAAGTCAATTATTGCCTTTTCCACTTTTTTTTTAGGTGGGGGGTGGTTGAAAAGGAATTCACCAACTTTGATGTTGGAGGAGCTTTCCCGCCTTCTGCAGTTCGCAATCTTGTGGAGAAAAGCGATATTAAGGTCACCAAATTTAAGCTATTTGACCCTGGATCTCTAGGACCAGAAGATCTCTTCCTTGCGGAGGAGAAGCTGGTTGTTTAGCATAGACTGTGCTCTTTGGTTCCTTTCATCAGTGGTCAGGGCTCTGCTTCCTTCAACGCAATCCCAAGGCTCGAGGGCCAACCAAAAATTGTCTTTTACGGATCAAAAGTTTCCTGGCAGTACCTTAACTCTTTCTATTATTATACACGTCTGGCACTGCCCTTGCAAGTGTCCTTCCCCATTTGTAGGAGTGCCACGATATGTCTCTATGGTGACACATGTCGACAAATGGAACTTGTACAATTTTTTAGTGCCTAGGTTTCATTGCAAAGTACAGATATGATCAGGGTACCTGAGATCACTAGGGAGATAGAGATCTTTATCAACAGAATGAAAGATTACGCATTATCTCCCACTTGACGTGTAACAATCCTAAACTTTCAAAAAAAAAAAAAAAGAATGTCTTTAGGAACTGCTACCTTTCTAAATTTGAGCCCAAAATATTTGACTGGTTATTTTTTAAATGTTATTGAAAGTGACCGTTATTAATGGTTTCAGTGAAATTCATACTAATAATTTCAATGATATGTTAAGTACATGATATTGCTGCTTTCGAATGTTTAAAGAGATTTAGAAATGCTTTAAGTATGCAAGTGGACTCATCCGGTTCGCCGGTGAGGCATAAGTGGACCTATTCGGTACGTCAGTAGGGATTAAATGGATTCATCCGGTACGCCGGTGAGGTATAAGTGGACCTGCACGGAT